AGCCCAGCAGGTCGAGGCTGCGGTGGCCGGGAGCGGCCACTGCACTCCAGTCTTGGCGACAGAGTGAGACTCCAACCCCAAAAAAAGTCACTTGAGGGACAGGTTGGTGGTGCACCTGCAGTCCCAGCTGCTTGGGAGGCTGAGGCGGAAGGATCGCCGGAGCCCAGCAGGTCGAGGCTGTGGGGGCCGGGAGCGGCCGCTGCACTCCGGTCTGGGCGACAGAGGGAGACTCCGACCCAAAAACAAGTCACTTGAGGGCCAGGTTGGTGGCGCCCCTGCAGTCCCAGCTGCTTGGGAGGCTGAGGCGGGAGAATGGCTTGGGCCCAGGAGCTTGAAGCTGTGGTGAGCTGTGATTGCACCCTGCACTCCGGCCTGGGGGACAGAGTGAGGACTTGTCTCCGAAGAACAAAATAGCTTGAGCAGTGCAAAGAAAGCGATGCGGTGTTCGGCACTCTGCCTTTCTGAGAGCGCTCTGGCCACAGTGCTCTCGGCCTGCTCGCCACGCTGCAGCTGTTCGGATCCAGGGAGAAGGCTGCTCCAGGTAGTGGTGTGTGGGCTGCCGACAGCCTGACACTCCCAACCTAGAGACCCTCGAAGGTCGCTCCTTATTCCCAAGGCTCAGCGGTGGCACGGCTGCTGTTAGTTGAGTGTCTCTTCATGTTTCACTTCCTGCATTCTCAAGCTGTGATTTGGAGTTTGCTCTGTGTTTTTTTTTTTAGAGATGAGTTCTCACCAAGCTGCCCAGGCTGGTCTCAAACCCCTAGGCTCAGGCAGTCCTCTCATCTCAGCCTCCCAAAGTGCTGGGATGACAGGCGTGAGCCGCCGTGCCTGGCTTACTCCGTGCTTTCTAACTTGAGAAGTCCTGCCTGTGCCCTTCAGGGTGGGTTTCCAGAGTATGGTAAGAGTCCAGTGTTCCCTGCACTCCTTGGCAGGCAGGTGGGTGGACGGTGGGTGAGTAGGTGGACACCCAAATACTGTTGCTGCTATTCTCAGTACCCACATGTCACTTAATACGTTTCTAAATACCTGAAATACTTGTGTGTGTCGTGTTTTCTTAGCTTAATTCCTGAGTTAAAATGAGTAGCCAGTAGCTAGGCAAGGCGGAACACACCTGCAGTCCCAGCATTTGGGAGGCCGGATGGGTGGCTCACTTGAGGCCAGGAGTTTGAGATCAGCCTGGGAAACATAGCGAGACCTCCATTTCTTCTTTTTTGTTTGTTTTTTTGAGTTGGAGTCTCACTCTGTCCTCTGTCGCCCAGGCTGGAGTGCAGTGGCATACTCAGCCACCGCGGCCTCAACCTGCTGATCCTTCTGCCTCAGCCTTCCAAGGAGCTAGAACTACAGGTGTGTGCCACCACACCTAGCGAGTTTTTTGATTCATTGTAGAGTCGAGGGCTCACCAACTTGTCCAGGCTGGTCTTGAACCCCTGGGCTCAGGCAGTCCTCTCGCCTTGGCCTCCCAAAGTGCTGTAATGACAGCCTGAGCCACCACGCCTGGCTGAGACCTCCATTTCTTAAAAAATAACCACGAATAGCCAGGTTTTGCTGTTAACCTTATGCCGGTCCTCTTGTTGAGGACACTCTTGGTGGACCCATGAGCTGGGTGCGTCCACAGCACAGTGACTCAGGTGGGAGGAGGCAGAGGCGGTACCTTCTCAGGGCTCTTGGGGAGGAGCCTTCCTCGCCCCCTCCAGCTCCTGCTGGCTAGATCACCTGATCTCTGCCCGTCTTCACCTGGCCTTCTCGAACTCTGAGTGTCTTCTCTTGGCTCTTTCTTTGTGTGTGATCTGGGGTCTCTTGCCCAGGCTGGAATGCAGTGGCAGGATCGCAGCTCACTGCAGCCTCCACCTCCTGGGCTCAGGTGATCCTTCCGCCTCAGCCATCCAAGTAGCTGGAACCACAGGCATGCACCACCACATCAGGCTAATTTTTCTATTTGTAGAGATGAGGTCTTGCCCTGTTGCTCAGGCCGGTCACGAACCCCTGGGCTCAGGCAGTCCTCTCGCCTCTGCCTCCCAAAGTGCTGGGATTATAGGCATGAGCCACTGTGCCCAGCTGAAATATGTACATATTTAAGACAGTCTGCAGATTTCTTGTTAGTCCTCCCGTTGAACCATGGACTCGAATTCCCTTCCCCTTAAACCTGGGTTGGCCTCAGAGACTTGCTTGACCAAAGCAATGTGGCAGATGTCATATTTGGGACCTCAGAAGCCTTGCAGGTTCCACTAGGCTTTATGAAACTCTTGCTCTGAGAGAAACAACACTGAGTAAGAAGTCTTGTTAAACCTAGCCAGGCACAGTGGCTCATACCTGTCATCCCAGCACTTTGGGAGGCGGAGGCCAGAGGAATTTCCTGTGCCCCTGGGTTTGAGACCAACCTGGGCAATTTTTTTTTTGAGTTGGAATCTCACTCTGATGCTCAGGCTGGAGTGCAGTGGCACACTCATGGCCACCCCAGCACCCCTGCTAGGCTCCAACGATCCTTCCACTTCAGACTTCCAAGTAGTTGGAGCTACAGGTGTGCGCTACCATGCCTGGCTAATTTTCTTTATTTATTGTAGAGACGAGGTCTCACCACGTTGCCCAGGCTGGTCTCAAACCTGCAGGCTCAGGCAATCCACTTGCCTCGGCCTCCCAAAGTGCTGGGATTATCGGCTGAGCCGGCAAACCTGGGCAGTTTGATGAGACCTCATCTCTACAATAAATCAAAAAATTAGCTGACTCAAAAAAAAATCCGGTTACCCCCAAGACCATACTATAAGGAAGCTCAAGGCAGCCACCTGGAAAAGACTGGAGCAAGATGCCTGGCGACTGTTCCTGCCATTCTGTTCCGGGTCCACACACGCAGGCCACGCGGCCCGACGGA